AGAAAAATAATAGTGTGTACTCTTCTTTTTTGTATAATTGTATATAATCACAATAATTGAATCTTTTGTGATTATTGTATCCGTAACGCATTCTATTTGTTTTTTTCTTTTTTTTGGATGGAACGAACATATCAAGATTGTAATCGATTATATCAATTTTAATCAAATTTTTTCCTGTATATTCCAAAACAATTTTATTATTTTATAGAAACGGTTTATTTATTAACGGTTCACTATATCGCGAAGGATTTCAATCCTGCAAACTTTAGACGTATGCAGTGCATAAGAACTAGTACTATCACAGAGTATTTTTTTTTACTTTTACTTTAGCAATTTATTGAAAATAATTGTTCACTGATCTTTCTCTTTTCCCCCTAAATTCTCTCAATTATGTACAACTTGTGTATATTAATGAGTATGAAAGCCTATATGAGCCAACACAATTAACAGTGCTTGAATTATTGTGTATTTTCGATAATAATTAATACATACAATAATTAATACATAAAATTTCAAACAGCATACGTTTCGACCCAGATTTAGGTCCTTTTCAGTATGTATTAACAATATGAAATGGTCGTAAATTTCTAATGATTGAATCTTCCATTTATTGTAAATTGTAGTTCAATTAAAAGTCGAATAATTAAAATAATTACAGGCGTCATGTTAAATTAATTGAAATTGTCATCAAATCCAAAAAATTCTTTAAAGTTAAATAAATAAGTAGAAGAGTTTAGAAAAGATAATGGTAAGCCCCATATTAACAGAGTGCGATCGAGAAAACAGCCGATTAAAAAATTCTTATTAAATTTGTTTCACTTCTACTAGAGATTTGTCATAAAAATTAAAACAGTGATATAAATGATACCTAGAAAATTTATAATTAAGAACTATAAATTAAATTATAATAAACTGAATCAAAAAGATCCGTATCATTTTACAATCCATGAGATTAATTTTTAATATACTTTCTATATCTATTTCTATATCTAATCATTTGTTGAAATTGATTTCTTCACTGAGATTGAATTCTCTATATATAACAATAAAGAGTGTTTTATTTCCGGCAGTAAAACAATTACAACAAAGCTTTAACAGTGGAATTATATAATTATTATTTTATTATATATAAAAGTATATAATGAATAACCGTTAAAAAGCCTGCTGAGAATTCAATCGCTTGAAATGCGTTTCACGTCTTTATATGTAATACAGTAATTTATTTATTATTTAAAGTATTAATACTGAGGAGAACTCAAAACTCGGATCGAAACATTTATTATATTTGTGCATTAGATAGTAATAAAATTGTAATTCGCAATTGCAACTAATGTCGGCTCTCAGCAGGCTTTTTAACAATTATTGATTATTATCATTAGAGCCTATACTTCTTTGATTGTTTAAAAGTAAAGAGGATATATTACTTATTACATGTGTGACTGTGAAAGTCTAAAAATTCTCCTTATCCAGTTCGCGTAACGATCCGGCGATTTGGATTTCCTTTGCGTGAAAAATTCGCGCGAAAGTTCTCAGTGCGAATTAAACACCGCGGTGGTGGAATCCACAAGTGAGGAAGCGATTGGAGAGTCTGCAGAGTGCTCGAAAATCCACGAGTTATCTGACCGAGTGCGGCTCAGTGGGGTGTGTAGCGTTAAGTTGGCGTTGGCCTCATCGAATCGCCTCGGATAGAGCGACCGCTGCCACCAATGCCGCCGCCGCCGCCGCTACGGTGCCAAGAGACGAAGGTTTGTTTTGATCGATCGCACGTAGAAATCGTATTTCCGGTGTCGCCTCGCAGGCGATGACAAATTCTCCTCTCCTCATTTTCCCGGAGCCGTGCAAGACCACGCACCACAGAAACATCCTGTCTATCCTTTATACCTACTTTACGCCAAATCAAGGTACTCAAGTAGCAAATTAGGTGCTTACCTTTTTCATTATTTTCCGTTCGAGAAAAGTGAGCGACTTGTAACTTGTCTTACCTCTTTACGGTGGTGTGTGATATAACCATTGCAATGATTTGATGCATAATACTTTATAATTTGGCAAATGTTTTATATTTCTGATCATAAAACGATTTGACAATGGAATTTTATATATATATAAAATTATTATTTTGTGTTATAATAAAAGTATGTATAAAAAAATATTGATTATTAAAGCTCTCATTCATCTCTCAGAATCATCAAAGCAAAACATTAAAGCTACGAGATGTAGTAATTAGAATGACGTGGGAAGAAGGCATTTTTATCACGCTAATTTGATTTTTTGTAGTATTAATATTAAGCGGAAAAATTATTTTTAGTTTGAAAATTATTACACAAGAGAAAAAATTTAATTTAAATAATTCCTGGAAATAATTTTTGGAATTAAATTGTTAATTAAAGCGAATCCGCGTGAATAAGTTTTAAAAAATAATCGTTATTTCTGTTATGTATGTGCATGTGTACTTTTAAACCATTTATAAACAGCAGTATTATTTGATTTGTAAAAATAGAACAGCTCTTTATCACATAATTGGTATGTAAAGGCGTTTCATGCACTACGTAAATTCAAGTTTAGTCACTATGATTCACGGTATTTTTGCGAAGTACAGAAAGTTTATCCGACTGGTTACCTTCGAAGTGATAATGTTAAACAATACTTTACGCTATCTGTGTAATTTTATCAGTTTAACTACACGTTAATATAAATCATAATTCGCAAACGAAATAAACCTTCTGTACTTCGCAAAAATATTGTGAATCATGGTGGCTAAATTTGAATTTACGTAGTGCATGCCAATGAAATGCCTTTACGTACCAATTATGTGAGCTATTCTATTTTTACAAATCAA